TAAAAGAAAAACATTTACGTTAAGTAAACAAACTCAAGAAAATCCAAGTACAATTTTTCTTTAATGGTCACTATTTTATTTTTATTTCACACCTAAACATTTTTGCTATAGCATAGTAATTTCCACTTGAAGAACAAAATTCATGACAAATAAAACATCATCATCGGGGTGGTGTTATAACTCAACTATGTACGTTCTGTTTCCTGAGGTTTACCGTAAATATTTTTAATCTCGTAATTTCTAAAATTTTTATGAATACTTGCCTTTGAATGAAGTTTGTTCCTAGTGTGTAATTCCATTGGGTTTTTTCTTTCATTGTTCCCAGCTTAGATACAATTATAGCTTTTTTTGCTTGCATCTTTGACCGATGCGTCATTTCCCGTTCTTTTGCCATTAATTGTTTACAAACATTCAACCAAAGTGTTAGTTCATAATTTGTTAACATGTTGTACAATGTTTGCTGTTCATTCATTGCTAGACAATAAACTATGATAGACTGTCTGATTATTTCTCTGCAGTCGTTATCTATGCGCTTGCATTGATTGGGAGTTGTGGTAGAACATTGTTAACAATAACATTTAGGAAGAAACCATGACTGTTACGAAGAACAAGGAAGAGTTAAGTAAAGAGGAAAAGAAGACCGATGATGACGAAGAAGTAGCTATAGCACTAGTGGGTGAGTTATTCTTATTAATGTTTATATTTTGGGCTCACTCTTTTTTTTTGTTGTTTGATTGCAGGCTTAGAGGTACTTTAAATACACATTCATGGGTTTAATTTTTTTACTAATTGGTTTTGCAACGAATTAATATATTTCTTATCACTAAAAAGGAAAACCAACGTATAGGATCTTACAATGAAGATCAACTCATTTTACAATAAAAACATATTTATTCTAATTAATGTGTAATATCATCAGTGTTTTTCTCGAAGCTATTTTAACTTGCCAGATGAAAAATAAATATTCTTAATCATCAATTAAATTACAAAATAGGATAGGAACTTTGACTGTTCATGAATTTTTCTTGTTATGTTAGGGTAGAAATGTTTTTTAATTCCCAAAAGTATATCATTACATATAAACCTAACCACATAACATACTTTACCTAACCTACTTAAGCGACATTTGTTATACTAATGGGATCCTACATAATGAAAAACGTATACCACATTATACCTCTATAAATATGTAGCTCTTACCAAATTAGATTGCACAGTTACGTTTACAGTTACAGTTACTGTAGATTGCACAGTATACGTTTGTAAAATACCTTTTGTTAAATTGTTTCCAGAATTTTTCAGAAAGAAGACGTATGTTAAAATAGGTTTTGAATGACCTGTTTGTGCAATTGACCACCTAAATTTCATTGAACTTTAGTTATATTACATAATCTTAACTTGCAGATCTCCTCTTCGAGACATTTTTGTACATGTGTATTCTGAATTTTTGTAATAGTACAGTATATTCTTTTTTGTCTAGTCGCTAGAATTCAACCTCTGTAGCTTTGCCAATACTTGTTTGGTCAAATATGTATCCTTACATTATATTTTCTTCATAAAATAGTTTTTCCTTTCATTTTGAAAGGTAGAGTAAAAAAAAAACACTTTGTCCAGCTGAATGCCATGTGGGGGACAAGAAGTTTAAGGCCGGAGAAACATGGACAGACCCCAAACATGATTGTAGAATGAGCATCTGCAACCCTGGTGGTGTAATATCCTATCTGGAGTAAGTATATTTTTCTGTATTCAACTTGGCCAAATTACGAAAATCATTTGTTTAGTGTACAAAAAAATAAAACCAGAGATTACAATCGCTAAACCCATAAAAAAACTGAGCAATACTTCTACACGAATCCCTGCATTTATAAATATCAAATAATTTCAATGTTTGAAGTTAAAGCATCCTTTAAAATTCTTACCTGAACAGCTTTTCCACGATGGTGTACCAATGTACGAAACTCTCTATTTCTGTTGCAGTGAACAATATTTTTAATTCAAATTTGTTCTTAAGGTGTCCTCGTTTCGAGTTGGGGGAAGGAGATGAAATAAGGATACCAGGAGAGAACAAATACGCTTATCCTCACTGCTGCGACTACGTGTTCCACACGAAAAAGAAGAAGGAACAGATTGACAAAGAAAAGGAAGATGGTACAAGAGAAGATGAAAAGGATGCTGAAGTAAACAAAGACGGAGAAGTAAGCAAAGATAATGACGTCGAAGAAAAGAATAAAGGTGAAAAAGATAAAGAAGATCAGCTAGGAGAAAAAGGTGAAAAAGGAGACGACAGCACGGAAGAAGAAAGTGAAGAAGAAAAAGAAAATACGGAAGAAAATGGTAAAGAAGAAAAGGGAGATTCTCCTGAATCGTCGAAAGTCTCCTAATTGATGACTACTGATGTACGAGTATTATTAGAATTAACATGTATTGAATTTTGAGTGAAAAATAGAAAAAGTAAGAAGGCACGATGCATTTATTCTAAATTGAAAACTTATATTTTCCAAATTGACCGAAGTTCATCAGTATGACCATGTATGACACTCGTAGTTCACACAGTAAATAAACCAGGACAACTTAAACTTCTTCAGAATTATGACAATCGTCAGAAAATCAGCGCTTAAGCAGTGATTTATAAAATGGTTTAATTCTGGCATAGATTTTTTATGTTTGCAACTCGGTATTATTCTAATACTAGTTACATACTTCATAATAAATCTTGGAAAAACATATTAAGTTTTTGAATGAGCACTAAGAGTTCACCATCCAATTTGGAGGCTAGCGGCCATCTTGGATAATTTTAAAAATTTTTGGTGAAGGGGTTTATGTATCGCCAAATTATTTTATTTTAATGTGGAGAGTAGGTATTAATTTTGAGAATATTATGAAGAATATAGAGTATACAAAAACTTGCATTATTAATTTCTCACACTACTTCTACCTAGCTTATTGAGATTAATCCCTAAATTAAGTGTATTCCCTAATTGGCACCTTATAAAGGGATACAAGATTAGAAATTTTCTTTGTAGCTTTGAACTGTTTTCCAAGGGAAACCATGGAAGCTAATTGACATCTTGGATTTACCCGCCATAGGAGCAATGTTCATTTAATTAATTTCAAACTGCCGCTGAAGAATTATTTACCATCTTAGGCTACTATATTTTCTCAAATACCAAAGGGATTTTACCAAGTGCTCCCGCTATCTCCGCGTTCTGCCACTTCCGAACCCAAATCTGTCCCACCACCTCCGAATTCTTGAGTGACCCTTATAATCCCGTCACTGCCTGCGTTGGTAGCTCTCATTGCAGATTGAATTTTGTTAGTGAGTTAATAATTTTACCAAGATTAATACATTTTTGATCTTATTCCATATATTTTTTATTGAAGCCCCGTGGATGGAAGATTTATGAAAATTTAACCCGTGGGTTAGGTTAGGTTTGATTAGGTTTTGACAGAAAGTCTTAACGCAGGTAGTAACCGAGGATTATAGGGGTCACTCTGAAATTCGGAGGTGGCGGGACACGGAGATGGCGGGACGCGGAGATAGCGGGAGGTAACCGGATTCTACTTTAAATATCTAGGTCACTAAGAGAGTAGAAGTTTTCTTTGTAGTTTTGTCGTTGTTTTTAGAAGGTCTTGGTGCCAAGGACTCTTAATTGGTGTCTAGCACTAGTATTTCTATAGCCCCGATAGTCACTAATGTCTGGGGCCAAGTTTAACACCCACCCCCCTCGTCGTCATCTACTACAACGCTCGAGGTAGAGGAAAATCCTGTGCCCTATGCGATAGGTATTTTCACCCAGTGCAAAGCCTTGCTCGTCACAAGTATATTTCCAGCACAACATACTGTAATATTTCATTTCATTCATTCATTATTTAGTGTTAAGTTTCTTAAAATGTTAACTTTTGTTCATACACCTTTGTTATTAATCACTCCTGAGAAAGGCTGGCCTAGTATTCATTTTCCTAATTTATACAATTTCATTAATATGTTCAATTAATCATTAATAATATTCATTCCATAGCCTATATATACATATTTTTTTACAAAGCCCAAAACTTGTTTATTTATTTTAAGCATCACGACCGTCCCTTAAGTATCACTACCATCCCTTAAGTATCACGACCGTCCCTTAAGTATCACTACCATCCCTTAAGTATCACTACCATCCCTTAAGTATCACGACCGCCTCTTAGGCATCACGACCGTCCCTTAAGTATCACGACCGTCCCTTAAGTATCACTACCATCCCTTAAGTATCACTACCATCCCTTAAGTATCACGACCGCCTCTTAGGCATCACGACCGTCCCTTAAGTATCACTACCATCCCTTAAGTATCACGACCGTCCCTTAAGTATCACTACCGTCCCTTAAGTATCACTACCATCCCTTAAGTATCACGACCGCCTCTTAGGCATCACGACCGTCCCTTAAGTATCACTACCATCCCTTAAGTATCACTACCATCCCTTAAGTATCACGACCGCCTCTTAGGCATCACGACCGTCCCTTAAGTAGCACTACCATCCCTTAAGTATCACTACCATCCCTTAAGTATCACGACCGCCTCTTAGGCATCACGACCGTCCCTTAAGTATCACTACCATCCCTTAAGTATCACGACTGCCTCTTAGGCATCACGACCGTCCCTTAAGCATCACGACCGTCCCTTAAGTATCACTACCGTCCCTTAAGTATCACTACCATCCCTTAAGTATCACTACCGTCCCTTAAGTATCACTACCATCCCTTAAGTATCACAACCGCCTCTTAGGCATCACGACCGTCCCTTAAGCATCACGACCGTCCCTTAAGTATCACTACCGTCCCTTAAGTATCACTACCATCCCTTAAGTATCACGACCGCCTCTTAGGCATCACGACCGTCCCTTAAGCATCACGACCGTCCCTTAAGTATCACGACCGCCTCTTAAGCTTCCTCTGTACCTTACTTCTCTGTGGAGCAAGTATTTTCAGGGTTCATTAATCAATTTACCAACACGTCAGTTGAAAGTTGTAATAAGATGTTAAAATCAAGCAGTAACCTAAATAGAATAGTCTTTTCATCTTGTCTTTGCAGTATTATCCTGGCTTGTCAATCTTGGGCTTGCAGTAGACATATTCACAACAGTCAGGGTACTCTAGGGTCGTGTCGCCGGGCACTGTAGCACAATCTGGTCGTGGCTTCTTCTTGTCATATATAAACCTTGGGCACCTGCAAAATACTTCTTTGTATGTCGCCATTTCATTAGAAAGTATAAAGTATAAAGTAAGGTAAAGTATATTAAACGGTGAGATTTTCAAAAACGGTGAAAGAAGAATATTTGGCACTTACATGCGTTAGGGATGAAAATTGTAAAAACAATTAAATTAACTTGTAGGCAATGGTTATACACTGGTGAAGATGACTAGATACTGGATTTTGTAAAATATTTGTATTTATGAGTTTTTATGTTTACTTTTTATATGTTATAACCTGTAAGCCTACGAGTCGAAGGTGGTAAGTATTTGGTTAGGGTAAACAAAAATGAAATGTCACTATGGTTTCAAATTTAGAAATATAATCTATGTTGGGCGTGGATTTAAGTGTGAATTGTACACCTTTCCTAAAAAGGAAAACAATATTCATTAGGTGAGTCTGTTGGTTTTCCACTTACTGTGGCAATTTCAGTTTGCTGTCGGTTGAAAAAATATAGACAGAGCTATGAGGTATTTGAAAAATTTGATGATAAGTGGAGGAATAGTTGGGTTAACGGACATAACTAGTCTTTAAAGACTATACTGCTATTTCTTTACATTATTTATACTATGGCCCATATAGGGATCTTAATAATTCCAACAACATCCTATAGGAAAATAGAAAATATACGCATATAATATTTATTTGTAAAAACATGTAACTAACTTGTTTTCTTTTACAATCTACAGACAGAAGGTTTATTCTGAACAGTTTCAAAATGTTTGGTGCATAGACGGCTAAGTAACATAAAACCAAACGTCTACACCTTTGTGGGACACTGCAAAAGTCAGTTAAGTAATCAATCTTATTGTTTACTAAAAATAGTAGTAAATACTCACGGCATGACGGAGATTAGACCTCCGGGGTGACATGCTCTCACTTCACACTTTCCTTTGTCCCTCCAAGTCTCCCCCACTTTGTATGTCTTACCCCCTGATTTACACACACCTGTAAATAGTTGTTTACATTAATTTTTGAAAGAAAATATGCACAGTTTTAAATACTTAATACCAACAAAGCCTATTGTAATATTATGGCAATATTGCTAAAAAATAACACTGTATAGAGTTTTTCACCCTTTTTAAGTAAAGCATTCTGTTGGTCTGTACGAAAAGATTATCCAGCAATAAGACCGTACCTTGATATCCTATGATTACTTAAGTTAAGGGATACGAGAATTCGTGCAAAATAACCATTATAGAACAATCACTTAAATTTGTTCCTTATATTGTTGTGCAAGTCTTGTGTTACTTGGTCCTAAAAAGTCCTTAATGTAAGGAAAAATTCGAGTTTATTAATCGATTGCAGAAAACATACCGTTCAACAGAACATTTATGCTGTATCCACATAAAATCTTTAATTCTATGACAAATTGTATTTCACTGAGTCCTACTTTAAACCTTACAAAGCTGAACAAATGTACTGGTAATAACAGTTTTATTTTAAATTTATTAAAATCAAATGTGAAAACACTAGACTCTAAGATGTACATAAATTTCAATTTTAGGTAATGAAGCCTAAAGAATATTCATTGTTTGTAGGATTTGTTCTAAGCTATTCCACTTACTTTTATCATTCTTTGTTATCCTTTCAATTTCCTCCCTTAATTTCTGCTCGTCAAGTTCTCTTTTTTTCGCCATTACAATATGTGTAGCTACTGTACGATGTCAATAATCATATTCATCAGTTGCTCAAACGAAACAGCTGTTATTGCGTTATTCTTATCTTTCTTGATAATTCGGTGGTCAATGATAAAGAAAGTACCGTTAGATAAGAGATGTTACTCAATTATTGGTTATTTAATAATGCATATATTGCGCAAACTTGATGAAATAGAGTTTCCCAATTCTTACAACATACTATTGGTACGGCGTACTAGCAAAACATATATTTCATCGGTAATTTTTTGCACACATCGTTGAATAATAGATTTACTTTGGTATTTAATCATTTCTCGTAGTATTGCTGCAATTGCTATTTGCCAATGTATTAAACATATTTAAAAATTTCTATGTGGTGAGAATTCGATCTTCAATGTATATTTTACATATTTTAAAGCCAAGTGCTTAATTTACTTATAATTCTCCATTCAAACATATCTTAACGATAGTTAATTTTACACAAATGTTAGTTCAGTTTACCGTTAGTTGCTAAAAACAAATTATAAGGCTATAAAGATACCTATTATTAATAACATATTTTAAGTATACAATTGTAAGAATGTCAGATGTGTTGACTATTAAGTCTAACACTCAATGGTAATATATATTTCATATAATTTAATTTTATAACAGGTTCTATGTACATATGTAAAAAAGATACAGAACAAGGATTTTTTAAATTTTATTTATTAGGTAATAGTGAAGATAATTGTAATGCATGTACCGTAGTGTTATGTTGTGTCAAGTTACAAAGTTGAGTGATCATATAAAACATGTTTCTCTATGGACTAAGAAAGGATTTATAAGTTGTTAGTGTTTTTCGACTTGTCCACTATAAAACTTTCGGTGGTATCACGTTTGTTGATATGGGGCATATCACTGAGGGGCAGCAGTCAGGGAAATTTTTTAACTTGAACAGATTTTGAGTTCGACACTGCTTTGGGGCCACCCACTCTGGGCACCTGAAAGAAGAAATTATAAAAATTAATCATTTGAGAAGTGAAAAACGCATTAAATCATAAAATGCTGTATTATGAGCACGAGCAATGTGAAGAGGCTACAATGGAACTGTACCGTGTGGAGTACTTATGTAACTACTAAGAACCTTTTATATAACTATATACATTTCATTTAACCATGCATTGTAGTTACATATTGACTGGCTTACATAAAGGTCTAGCGCTTGGAAATAAACTGGTTGGTTTTACTTTATTGCATACATTGTCTTTCTTTGCTTTTGTCTACGCCAGTGGTTTTTTTTTAATTAAGTAAATTTAAAAGATTTTAGGGGGAAAGCAGTCTAAATCAATTTGAGTTTTGTGGCTGTGCCGAGAATTGACCCCGTGCCTCACCCAACAAAGCCCGAGACGCCAAGCACTAGGCTAGCAACACACATTCTTTTCTGTAATTCGTTCTTCAAATTTCTGGAGTTTCACCCCCCCCCCCTCATAAATATACGTCTTTACAAAGAGACTAACCATAACTGGCGTTACCTGCTGTTTACTAATCTGCCCCTCTTTGGAAAAAGATGCTGTTCGTTACAAAAAATCTTAAAGCTACCCTATCGCCTTGTTTTAAAAAATATTGTTTTAACAACAAAATTGTTTTAACAAATTGTTTTAGAATTTCATAGTCTTGAACTTTTAGCTACATATATCAGTTTGTACACACAGACACTTTGCTTTGACGCTACAATACATTTACTTTTTCTTCGTTAACACTATGCATGTAATCTGTATACATTGCAGTCCATACAATTACCAAATGTAAAGGAACGTCACACCCTCTTTGTATATTTCGGACACGCTGGTTCTAGAAATGAAGTACCTGTCGATCTAAAAGTTTGATTCGAATTAAAAACCCATTGTAGAGACTCAGAACATTCACTCCAGACCTTAAGTATTACCATGAGTACTATTTTAATTACTCTCTCTTACGGGATCGGCTAATAATTCGATAAAATTTGTTGATAACAACTCAGAATGATCTGCAATGACGCTTTTTTTAGCTAAGCTACGTTTAGCAACAACTAACTTTCTAACTGAGATGACCTTTCTAGGGTGGCACACTTTCAGGTTGCATTCTCCCTCGTTGGTCCAGGATTCTCCTACTTTGTATGTCTTCCCGCCGTCCTCACACTCTTCTGCAAATGAAAATCTTGGTTAACATAGAGTATACTTAAATATTATCAGAGTTTAAGGTCTAGTGGTAGAGCGCGGGGCTTCGGTGTCCAAGGTACGGGTTCAAACCCCGCCAATCACAAATGGATTTTAAGTGAAAATGCGCAACCTCATACTAGCTTGAACTTGTGTGTTAAACAGTTCCAGGCTAGAACCTAGCGCACTAGGATGTGAAGGTGGGACAATAAAAAAGTTACTGGCAGAAACCGTGGTTCAAATCCGGCCAGTCACCAATGGTTGTACTCTTTCTGACATACGGGATCCGGTAGAACGTAGGTCCGCCTATGTGGAACAAAATATATGTATTAGGAAAAAACTTCTTTATATTGTCGAAATATTAAAGGCCCTCGTTTCAATTAATAATAAACCTAAGGTTGTTGTAAGGTCTGTATTACATGACGGTGGGATTTATGGTACTCTTGTTGTATATTCTTGCACTATTTTAAACTATTTCTTATATTATATTGAATTTTAGCCTCCTGATCGCATTTAAATACTATAAATTGGTGTAAAATACCTGAATTTATGCGATCTTGTTTGTAGCTGAGTTGCTACCGGTTTCAACTCACAATGGAGTCATCTTCAGGCAGTTGACGTGTTTGTGTTTTGTTTATTTATTTACTATCTATTAATGACCTTCGAATGAAGCGAGAAGACATCTTAACTGCCTGAAGATGACTCCAATGTGAGTTGAAACCGGTAGCAACTCAGCTACAAACAAGATCGCATAAATGCAGGTATTTTACACCAATTTATAGTATTTATTATGTATGAAATACCTTAAAGAAGATAGGCATTTTCAAGTTTTCATATAATAAACCTCACAATTGTTTAAGCAGGGAAACGTACGTTTTCATAGTTGAATATGAACTAAGTATGTATTTAGAATGCAATCATAACGAAATCAATAAACACTTTTTCTCAAATAACCCGAAGTTTTTCTGGTTAGAAAGTTTGCTTGAATTTTACGAAACATCTCGAAATTTCGCTACCATTCTTTTTCCATGTAGTATTGCATTTACAATGCATTTATCAAAATAATACATAATTAGATAATTTTAGGCATCAGTAAAAAAAATAACGATTACAAAATATACCTTACTGAGTTAGCTAACTTACAGAACACAGCTTATGACGCCTGGCAAAACATGTGTCACTGGAGAAATATAAACGAACAATTTGTATGGATTCCAAATTAAAATATAACACTTGTCATTGTAGAATAATACCAAACTAATTCCATACTAAGAGTTAACTTCTCATCATAATGTTTAAAAATCGAATACTTTTTAAGTCTTCCTATCATTTCCAGTAAGTTTGTAGATGTTGACTAAGAGTGCCTCCCTTAGTTCAAAATAAGTTTTAAGCACATTTTTGTTGTAGCACCACAATATTTACTATAATTTACAAACGAATCACTGACATCGGTTTTAAGTAATCATTTTTATGTTAGTAATATAAACTACATTTAAAGATAGGCCATAAAGTTAGAGTTAGGACTTGTACATACACAGGAGCATCTAATACCAAAGGATAACGTATCCATTACAGATTATGCATAAACTATGCAAAAACAGTACTTAAACTGATGGTCGAAAAAGAAAAATAACTGTACTTTAACGTTGGGATTACAACATTACTTACCATCTTCTCCTTTTGTAATTGAATCTTCTCTTGCTGTTTCATGCGTTCCTTCAAAGAATCTTTCGAAATCGATTAAAAAGCTGTTCATATTTTGTTCGAATTCGGTTGAAAATGACTTCCATCGGTCCCATATTCCATTGACTATATTCATGGTCAGACGTTAGAATATCTAATGATTCATTCGCTGTTTGGAATCACTACTGTTCTAATTCATTTCGTTAGAAATCTTTGAATAGAAGTGACGTAATTGAAGATAACAATTTATTTTTATACATCGGATAATAATACTGAACACATAACTCTAGAAAGCTACACACACACAAACACGATACATTAGTCTTGATGTGTTATTGATTGTCGATTTATTTGAACTAGAGGTCGTCCAGTGGTCAAAAACTCGACCAAAAATATCTAATGTACAGACTTCTCTATTTTCACCCCACGCTGTAAATAAAACATGTGATTCGAATTTCTTCCATTTGTTTTGAACTTCTGTTTATATGTCACCAGAATGGCAATCCGTTAGGCCCATTCTATTTTTAAATTGCTAAATTAATTTTTTGTGCTTTTTTGAGCCTATTTTAATTTATCAAGGGATTCTACACTATAAAATTGTGGTATAATTACCTCGTCAAGTAATCCAAATGTTGTTGATGTGAGGTTAAAAACCTACATCGTCAGGGTAAAAATAACATAAATTAGACCAAAAACTGTAAATTAGTTGGAAGCATGAAAATTAACGAATGCAAACTTGTTTTTCTTTTTGTTCCACCAATACCAATAATAATTGTAATTAATTGCCAATTGATGCACCCTGGCAAGAAAGAAATGCTTCCAATGGGCACAGGAGTATGAGAGTATTTTGGTAATCCAGGCAAATTTGGTTTTCTTTCATCTTGCAAAAAGACATTCTTAGACTACTGACGTATGTTCTAGACGTCTGAAACGTTAAATAGAGGAAAAAATAGTTTTGGGTGATGGCTGCCATGTAACTTAGTGACCCTCACCCCAATTCTGTTGACTCCAATTACCCCAAACGCATGGTTTTCTTTAGCATTAACTCAATCTCTAATCAAACGTAACCCAAAGCGAACAACTACTGAATGGTATTATAGATCATACAAGTTCAGCAAACTTTCAATCTTCTCTATTTAAAGTATATTTCGTATCAAATGTTATAAGAGGTAGCCTAAAAACAATCATTCACCAGAAACACGCAAGTCTGTCGTGGGATTTTGGAAAAAAAACGAAGTAGTATCTTTTCAAAATGCAACCAGACATACTTAACAAAACTAATCCACGTCAACTAAATGCTAAAAGATGACGTTGCCTTCATTGCCCCGTGAGCGCTATTACCCCAGTCTCCCCCGCGACTTTAGACCTTAGATTATAATTAATTATAGGCTATATCTTAAAACTTTGAGTCAACTGAGATACATTTTATGAAACCTATTTATTCGTAGGTGTTGCAACAATTTTGGAGGGTAAAATGTAATTCACTGTTCATCTATAACGAAAAATACCATAAAATGTCTTTAAACCATGTTTGCTTGTATGGCGGAAAATTTAAAGAAAACATCTTTCTTTTTATTTCAGTTTTTTCGAAAAATAGTTGAGAAAAATAATTCTTGTCTTTTGTTTATACACTAACAGCAGCTAAAAATAGTGTATTTTATTATAACTTTTGATTTTTAATCATACATCCTTTAAGGATATTTTGTGGAAAGTTTCACCTGTATATATCTTTTTCATTAGATAGATGGTTTGTTTTGGATGGTAAAATTGAGGCAATTTACTTCCTCACTGTTTAAAACTCCCTTTAATCAAACTTGGGTAAAGTTTGCATATAAATATCAAACATTACCATTCTCTTAGGTTGATTAAATTTAAAGTTTTACACAACTTCCATTTAACGTTTTTGTTACAAAGTTTTGCACTTTGAATTCATCAAATTCAAAATGTTAAGATTGATCTTAAAGTTTTCTTGCAGTTATTAATGCAATACAAGATTTAACTTTAAATATCTTAACAATTTTACTATATATCCCGGTTGTTTTTCTGGTTAAACAGATGATTGTGTTACCTAATAAAGATTGACGAAAAATTGTATAAGAAATCACCTCAAAATGTTCATTGCCAGAATCTGAGGAAACGTTTGTTGTGGAAAACGGATTTTAACGAAAAGCTGATAAGAAATTAAAAGTAGTTTATAGTAATTGTCGTTAATTTATCCATTCCAATAACAAAATTAAAAAAAAAATGGATGGTTTGTTTCTTATTTTAATCATCATAATTAAGTGATTAAGTGATAAACACTATAATTGTTCTATAAATCGATTAAGAGTCTAAAACTAATTAATAAACAGATTTGTACAATCACAACAAATAAATTATACATAAAGAGTACACTATAACATAAAGTTACAAGTACTATAGCAGATATTTAACAGTTGTTCAAGAAGAAGCAGTTTTCTATTGGTTGTGTAGAATCTGAAGTTTAATGGTTGCTGTAACTATTGTCAAGTCCGCTGAAAAAAATGATTCAACATTAGTTGTAAAAATTGTACACACCTTAACAAAATCCAAATTAAAAATAATTTTTAAATTCTTCTTTTTTCTTGTGAAACGATAAAGCAAATGCCATTAAACAATTTATTTGATATCACTAAATTGAAAAGTTTGATCCTAATATATAGCATTTTATTTTTGTCGCTCGTTTGAAATATATAATACAGTCTAATTAATTCAACTGTTACCGATTTATTAAAATTCTGTTGTGTTTGAAAAGGAGTATTTTATACAAATAAACTCGTAAGTGTTACATTATAATTAATTATGATACAAATTATTGTTAATCGTTACTTTAAAAACCTGTCCTGAGCTATGGCAGTGCAAATTAGAGCATTTAGACCACTCACAGTACTTTCACTCAAAAGTATAATCCCTCACATTTTAATTTGTTGTCCTATCGTCTTTGATTAAGATTATGTACCCATTTGGCAATTTGCTAAATATTCAGCCTCAAACAATTTACAATAAGGAATTGTTTTACGTTTTATCCAGGATAAAATGTTCAAAATAAAACGTATTTTTCATATTAGGATCTACAATGACCCACAATTGACAAAATTATTAAATCAATACATGACAACAGTCCCTTCCTTTTAGGTTTTGGCTGAAAAAATAATCTCGTTTTTGGTGGTAACAATTTATGTGGAAAAAATTTTGGTTCTGATAAAAGTTTGCCAATAGTATTAATAAAATGTTTTGAAAAAAACTTTAATTTTTTGCCAAACAATACTTACGAAACTACTGCCACCCTCCCACCCTTTAAGCAGGCTCTTATTTTCCCGTTTTCATCCTTCCAGGCCTCTCCTGGAGAAAACGTGTAGTCTCCAACTTTGCATTTATCTAAACAAATTTAATACAATAATTACAGGATGTTCTATTATTTTAAAAAAATGAATAAACACATAGTCGTATTTTGATTAACAATATTGGTTCTGTTCTCCCAAATGCCCTATATTAAGCTATGAAATTAATTGAATATAAATTTAAATCCAAGATTTGAGGGATTTATTTTCATTGCGAAAGAAACATTGAAACTAACGATAATCGACATCCAAGCAATAATTGATTAAATCTATAAAGAGTAAATATAGTGCATGTGTTCGGAACACTAAATTTTGTTGTTAATTTTTTTAAGTTTAAAATTGTTTAATTACACGTCGATTTTTACCATTGAACAATAGTAATGTTCGTTACATATAAAATAAATGTGTGGAACTTATTACCTTTTACAATCACTAATTACTAATTATATTTAATTGGCTCATTAACTCTATTACGATTGTCCATTGTTTTCCATACCCAGATATAAACTTCAACAACCAAACAAAAATAATTGCTTATTACTAGTAGAATATTCCGGTCGAGTGTGTATGTATCAAACATTCAAGCATAGAATGTACTATCTGTTATCATTAGGATTAAATTTAAATATTTTATTCCAATTAATATAATTAACCAGAGTTTTCCTAATAATTTAGCTACAACGTCATTGAAATGGATCTGATTTATTACTATAATTAGGGTAAAGCTTCCTGTGTACATATATAACTAACTAAATATGAAGATGTGACGAAAAAAAACTAAATCATTGGTCCATGTAGTTTTATGAGTATTATTAACATAGTCAATAAATAATGTTCTTCATATTTTATTCAATTACGTTTGTAAATATTAGTGGGTAGTCATTAAATAATGTTCTTCATATTTTATTCAATTACGTTTGTAAATATTAGTGGGTATGATATTCATAAAAGGAACATATACGAATTGTTGTTTGTGGTTCCTAAATAAATGTTCAAATTCAATGTAATTCGCAAGTACTGATAATTGATAAATTACGTACACAAGTATGATATGTTGATTATTATGGTGTTTATTTGATTTTTCATACTTTTGTTTGGAAATATTTTAAACCTCGAAAAGTTAAAATGTTTCAATCTAATAAATCTTAAGATTTAACATATTTATTTTTAAATAGAAGGCCATTTTCGACTATTATATTAATAATAACATCTTTGATAAATATTTTCTGTTAAGTATATAACAATTAGACCTATTTTAGCTACGTATACATAAATAATTCTAGTAACCAGATAAATAATAATACTTACTTCTCTTCATCCTATCAAGGAAGTTGTCGATTTTCCCATCAACATAGTTAAGGCCTCTATCCGAGGAGTTCAAAAATATATTTCCGATTTCCGTCACATAGTCTTCCACAGCGTACCAGATGTTAGTTATGGTGTTACACATTCTAACGAATGTACAAACTTGCTATCTAAACTCGAGAAGAAACTGATTGAGATTTATAATTGTTATCTTAATAAAGTTAACCGGATTGACTTCTGTTATCTAAATAGCGTTTGCTTACTGACAAGTTTTAAGTTGTTATAGCTATTTTTTCTACCATGATTGTTAAATGATGGCAAAAGTAGTTTTATTTTAAATGAATGGTTACAAAATTTTAATTCTTGTTTAACCTGAAAAGCTTGTGGCATTAAATAAAATTTGTGTAGTAAATGTACGTTTTCCACCTCAATTTTGTAAGACCACATTAACTATTTGTTTCACAATAGTTCACCACACAATACAATAGTTCACCAAAC